CGCAGGCATCCTCAAACTCGGCCCTCCAGATGTTTTGGGACTACAACTCCCATCATCCCTAGCTAACAGGACCAGTGGTTAGGGATGATGGCAACTGTAATCCCAAAACATCTGGAGGGCAAAGTTTGGGGATGCCTGCCTTAGTGCAAGTCTGTGGGATGCCGGAGAGGAAATAGCGGCCACTTTGCTCCTCGTTCGTACTTGTTACCACTGTGCTTCTGTGAGCTAAGCCATGGTTTGGCTTAGTGCGCCATGCAAACCCGGGTTCATGGTTTGTCTCACTTGAGAAAAACTGCAAGCAGCAGCCAAGTTTTATTCCATGGCTCATGGTTTGTCGGGAGAAGGCAAACCACAACACACTAAGCCGAACTAAGCCAAACCATAGCTTAGCTTAGTGGTTTCAACTACACTCTCCTGTCCATCTCAACCAAAATGCTTTGTTCTAAGGAAGGGTCGCCTTGATGCTTTCTCAAATAGAGGCAAGGAGAAGGAAGGCTCTCAGGTTTTAGGGTAATAGCAGCAGCACGACCGGCAGGAGGTGAGGCAAGTGAGTAGGGAGTCCAGGGGGCACCAATTCGCCACTCCTCTGCGCCTGCCACCTGAGACAATTGTCTCGTAATAGCTCTGCCTGACAACAGTGTACAGCATTTCACATATCCTTCAGTAAAGACTGACAATCCAAGGGTGCCTTTCCTTCCTACTTAGCAGAGCTTTGATTTAAACGACCCCCTTCTAAATTTCACGAGCCAAATGCATGGTTCCATGGAGAATAGGGGTAACCGAGAACCTCCAAAGGGGTTCTCTCTGGCAGTAAATTATGTGGGCAGATGAGCAGAGAATTGCTTGTCTATCAAAAGTCAGGTCAGGGCCGGCCAAAGACATTTTGCCACCTGAGGTGAATCCCTGGCCGGGGAAGAAGGGGTGAGTGAAGATCTACATCAGGAATGAGCGGGGAATAAAGATCTAGATCGGGAACAAGTGTGGGAGGAGACCAGCAGCACCTTCTATTCGCCAAGAGGCTGCTGAAGCAGCATGGAGAGAGCTGCCAAAGAGGCAGCGGATCCAGCCTGCAAAGAACATAGGGCATCTGCCACTGCAGCCGCGGCAGCAACAGCAGGCAATGCATTCCTTGGAGGCTGGATCTGCTGCCTCTGTGGGTCCTGCTGCCTGAGGCCATTGCCTCACCTTCCCTCATGGGTGGGCCGGGCCTGAATCAGGTGTTCTATGTTAAAATTCAGAACGTCTGCCCACCTACAATGGATGATTGCCTGCATATGTGTGTCAGAATCTGTAAGAGCCAAAGAGAGCGTACTTGGTGTTCAAAGAATGATTACAAGGTCACATCACATGCAGATGATGCGAATTTCTTTTTAAGGAAACCTTAGTTCATCTCTGATAAGATTAATGGACATACTAGGAGAATTTGGAAGTGTGTCAGGGCATAAGCTCAATCAAACTAAATCAGAGCTTTTAGGAATTAACATGGAGTTGTATAACAAAGATGAAATACAGCAAGTGAACAAATTAAGTGGAAGGTTAAAAACATCAAATACATCAGAGGAAAATTATCCAGGGATGTTCAAAGATCTGTTCAAAGTTAACACTGACCCCTTAATGATTGCAGCAAATCAAAAGATGCACCCAAGTTGTAGTGGTTAAAATCACATGTTTTGCCAATATATCTACTTTGCTTCTTGAGCAAACACAGTGTCACAAATCACCACAGAAAGAGCTCAACTTGGTTAAATGTAGTATAAACCAATATATTTAGTATTACAAAGCTCTGGGAATAAAAGTGGGAACATTGGAAGAGAAGGCCAAGGAAAGCTGTGGAGGGCAGGGGTGTGGCAATTCAATATACCTCCATTCAAACTATCAGGGTTGCAAAATCTTAGTGCTTTGTGCCACTTGCTGGAGCCAAGTGAAGTTAATAAATGCAAGAGCATTGGGAATGAGCCATGCTAGGAAATAAAGACAGTTTGAAGGTGAATTTAAGTAAAGCTTGATGTGAAACACAGTTATACATGTCTTGGGCAAAGTTTAAGAGTGATCTGACCCAATCCCCATCTCTCATAGTCTTGGTGATTTAACACAAATACTTCACAGAAGCTAGGAGAATTAGCAGCTTCTGTAATTACATAGTAGGTAGCATACCTGTCTAAATTCTATGATGAACCTACAGGTAACAGATTCACTGCATGTAAACCTTTGACTTTTCATCTGCTGTGACCCATCTCTTATCTGCATTCTTATCTTTCCCATGTTTTTATGAGTGCTACTACAGGTATATTTAGATTTTGTTGGTTGTGAAAAAGTTGCCAGTCACCTTGGACATCTTTTTTAAATGGAAAGGAATGCAATGGATATTTTAAATAAATAATGGAATGGAATTAAAAACAAAATGCACCACCAACCATCTACCCTCACACACATGTATTTTCAAGTCTTTCAAGTCTTTTCAAGTCTTGAGGACTGAGAGAGAAAACGTGAATAATAGGAAAAACCTAACTTCATTTTTGACATAATTTGCTTACACTGAACAACACAGCAAAGGGCAGCTCACCCACAAAATTATAATACTTTGATAAATTTGTTGCCATAACAGGACAAATTCTGTTGAGAGACCAGCTGCCTTGACTTTCCTTCTCCCTCATCCATCACCTAGAAGAATTGATCCATCCTAGCTGGTTGTTAAAAGGACTGTAACATTAAGAAATTGTGCTGGAGTTTGTTTGCTCTCCCCCTTTCTTTTTTTTCCTTTCTTTTCTTGTTGTGTCTTTTAGACTATGAATCAAAGGAGAACGATAGAAGATGAAATGGAAAAAGACAAGCAACAGCACAGTAGAGATATATCTGCAAGATGATGACCATTTTAAGCATCAATGGATTCCCCCCCTTCTAAAGAATCCTGGGAACTGTAGTTTGTTAAGGGTGCTGAGAGTTGTTAGGAGACCCCCTACTCTGTACTCTTCCCAGAGTTCCCTGGGAACAGGGATAGAATGTTAAAACTCCTTTTGTGACCAGCTCTTATGGAAGATTCGTAACCAGCTGAGATTCCCACCCCCCTTGAACACAATCCTTGGCTTTCTGAGTAACTCTCTCAGTGTTTCTATTTTCCATTCTTTTCTGTTTCATTGTAGTGTGTTATATATACATATATATATTTATATATATATATATATATATGTTGGTGTTCTTTACCACTTTTTTGTTGAGCTGCATCACGTTGAGTTGTCAAAATGGCATGGGGGAAATAAGAAACTGGATGCTAAGGAAACTAAACAGATGTAGACTTTAATATATTGCGCTCCACACACACACACACACAGAGAGAGAGAGAGAGAGAGAGAGAGAGAGAACTCTACTCTAAAGGCCCTGTCAGTCTACTATAAATGCCGAGAGTAGCCTGTAATTAACTCAGAACCTTCTTGAAAACTGGCTTGGATGGCACATTCACAAACACAACCTGCCCTATAGCAGCAGCTTGGTAATATTAAAAAGGAAGGCCACTGTTCCCTGCATGCTGACACCTGGAATTCTCACCCTGGCAGCACCTCCTTCCTTACCCTGTAGTCTGCTGGCAGGTGGCCCTTATTGAGACTGGTCCATTGAGAATGACACTGTGCCATCACGTGGGCTAGTCTCAATGCTGCTGTATTGCTGCGGTTTAAGTGGTTCAGTGACTCTTCATCTCAGGGTCATGGCTTTGAGCCCCACACTGGGCAAAGGAGACCTGCACAGCAGGGGGTTGGGAGAAGATGCCCCTCGCAGTCCCTTCAAACTCTGCAAATTCTACAATTCTGAACTTCTCCAGCCACCTAGAGCAATGGCAAAGCTCCTCCCTGCCTCCCAGCACCAACAGGATTGTAACCCTCTGCTTCCATGTGCAGTATCGATCACGGTAAGCCAGTCTCCTGAAAAACGCAGGGCTAAATGCATTTATCTCCCCACCTTCACCCCGTCCTTTCCAGCAAAATCTCTGAAAATGCCCCACACACATTCGTCAGACAAATGGCTCTGCAAAATGGAGGGGGCCGTTTTCACACCCAACACTAGTACTCAACGCGTCCATGTGCGAGCAGCCCAGTGAGAAGTAATTTGAGATCTTTTGCTCATCACTCAGTCATTTATAACAAATGTTCCCATCAGTGCCATGTACTGCTACAGCCCTGCTAAGAAGTAATTTACTTGGTATGTGCAGAGATGACATAGGTATCCTAGGAATTTGACTATTAGCATTGTCAGGCATTAACGAGATGATATGAAAACAAATGGCAAGCTACTGAGGCTTTTTTTTTTATGATTAACTCCAGGCACTTCATTTGTCTTTTACCTCCTCGCAAAGCCAGAGGAGGAAACGCTTACATTTGTATCCATTCTCCCTCTCCTTCCTTCGTTCCCTCTCGCATCCTACAGCTTTGTTAATCAATTCCTTTATGCAACTGAAGGCCCGTCAACATGAAGAATTAAAGAATATCCACATTTTGTCAGACAAGCGGAGAACGTGGAAATAACTTGATTCATGCTTCGGTTGCACTGTGGAGGTTGCATCCCACTGCCTCCCAGGAAGAACATCACAGCAAAATGGAAACCAACCTGCTCCATCCATCGGCCAGAGATGGAGCAGTTTCTCCCTCCCTGCCAACTGCCAGTTGTCCCAGGACTGTGTAGCTAAAGGGAAGCACACTCCGCCCCCATCCATCAGCCAATGACTGCTGGGCTGTATGGGCTTGGGGCATGTTTGTGTGCAGTAATGGCGGGTCCCCAATAGGACTGGCAGGCAGTAAGTCAGGCTTTCTCAACCTGTGGGTCAGCAGATGTTGTTGAACTACAACTCCCATCACCCCTAGCTAGCAAGGCCAGAGCTCAAGGATGATAGGAGTTGTAGTCCAACAACATCTGAGGACCCACAGGTTGAGAACCGCTGCAGTAGGTGGAGCCAGAGTCACTGACTGGCAGAGCAACTCATTCAAGTCTTGTTCCCATCCCTCTAGTTGCTGAGTTCTACAAGGATGTGTGTGTGTGTGTGTGTGTGTGTGTGTACACACACACACACACACACACGTTTGCAAGAAACTGGAAGCTGGTTTCAGGATTATTAAATCCTAAGGCAGGGTATAAATCTTCTGCAGTTAAATAATCTAATTCCAAATAAGTAAATTAAAACAGCCAGTGCAGAAACTGAATTTTGGGAGACACTTCCTGAGGATTTGGGAGCGGGGAACAAATTGATCAATACAAGACACATATTTGGACAATATGGAGCTAGATGGCTTCATATTGTGATCTCAGAATCTTCAGCTTTCAATGTTGTTAAAAAGAACAAACAATCGGCACCAGATCAGGCCCAACAAATCTAAAACATCTGCAGTTTTAGGTTTGCAAACAGAAATCAGGATCAGATGTCTGTCACTGGCTATGAATTGGGTTTTGCTCTGGCCAATTGCCTTCATTCAAAGGTAGGGTTGCCATACGTCCAGGAAATCCCAGACATGTCCATCTGGGCGGATTTTTACATTTTAAAAGAAATGTCCCGGTTTCTCAGCCTCGGGCTGCTCTGCACACTATGGCTGCTGCCAGCCCAAGCCTCTTTCCCCAGCTCAGGCTGGCAGTGGCTCAGGCTGTCCTCTTTTTTGCTCTTCAAGGTATGGCAACCCTATTCAAAGGCTAATTGTTTCTCAGGAAAACAGCAGCAATTTTATAAGACAAGACCATTTATTTTATTATTATTGTGAGTAGAATGTTCCTTCAAGAGATATTGTCTTTACAAATCCATTTATGTATTTTAAGACATTTCTAAAACACCATTCACCAAAAAAGGTCACAGGGTGGCTTACCAAAAAAAAAAGCAATACATAATAAACAAAAAAAAATTATCATAAATAGCATAATTAACAACCCCATCAAACAACTTAAGCCATCAGCCACTAAAAGCCTGGCAAAAAGGTGAGTTTTTACCTGGTGTCTGAAAGAATACAGAGCTGGGGAGAAACACACTTCAGTGAAAAAACCATTCCACAGACATGACTTTCACAGGCCCTTGCACTGCATACAGTGGTACCTCTGGTTAAGAACTTAATTTGTTCCGGAGGTCTGTTCTTAACCTGAAACTGTTCTTAACCGTGCAATTTCTGTTCTCATCCTGAGGTATAGTTCTTAACCTGAGGTACTACTTCTGGGTTAGCGGAGTCTGTAACTCGAGGTACCACTGTACTTCCATTTATTCATAGTCAACTCCCTCCCTCTTTTGCCAAACTAAACATGATACTAAACATATTTTACATTTAAGGCGCACTTTATAAAAATGGAAAAGGCTGTGGCGGAGGATCCCACCAATATAAATGCTGTGACAAAAGGCTAAGGAGAAGCTTAAACTTTCATCTCCGCGACGGTCTCTACTATAATTGTTCCCTCCCCTCCATCACTACGCAAATGGGAGGGAAAACTCGCATTATCACCAATGTCTCTAAAAGCAAGGTAGTAAGTAAACCTGTTCAAAACCGCTTCCAAATGTTGGCTGGCTAAAACAGACAATTACTTCTTGCTCCTCCTTTGCTTCTATACATTGAGAAATCCCTAACTGCTTACGACTTCTAAGGAGTCACTCAACACTAGGCCAGTTCACACCTGCACTTGGAAAAACTCAACGGGCACAATGCAAAGAAAGTTAAGTGTGCCAAAGAAACAATTTATGGCAACCAGCTAGCATTAGGGTAGCATGAAGGTTCTGGGTCGAGTCCTATAGACCCTTGTGCTGTGATATCTGGGCCAGGTGGTACTGCCAGCCTTGGGCTCAATGGTCTCCTTTTCACCAGCATTAGGCTCAGAGTCAGGAACCTGGTTTGGTTCCTTAGCTGGCAACGCTACAGACCCCAACTCAAGTCACTGCTGGACTCTGGTGTCATGACACTCCAGCATTTCAGACAAAGGTCTTTCCCAGCCATACCTGTAGATGGCAAGGGTTGAAACTAGAGCCCGTTTTCATGCAAAACACATCCTCAACCACTAAGCTACAGCCCTTACCTGCCTTTCTTCCAGCTGTGACTGACACACAGAGCAAGTTCTATGTGCATGTTCTCACCCTCCCTCTTCAGTAAAATCGTTTCTATTCCGCAATGTTTGTACTGCCAACAAGAGAAATTAATCTACTGCAGTTTCTCTTTGCTATCCTTCCACCCCAATGCTTAAGTAAGGTTAAAAAGGTAAAGGACCTCTGATAGGTAAGTCCAGTCGCGAATGACTCTGGGGTTGCGGCGCTCATCTCGCTTTACTGGCCGAGGGAGCCGACGTTTGTCCGCAGACAGTTTTTCTGGGTCATGTGGCCAGCATGACTAAGCCGCTTCTGGCAAAACCAGAGCAGCGCACGGAAGTGCACTAACCGTAAGGTAATTGTCTATTATTTTACTAGCCCAATCAGATTAATATCAGGGGCTCAGCTGACCTGATAAAGGGCTTCCTAATTTGTTTTTTAGTATTGACCCCTATCAGAAGGCACTGTGACTCATTCCCTGAACTATTCCTAAAGGAAACAGCATCGTATCGCTGCTGTACCTGCTAAAGGTAAAGGGACCCCTGACCGTTAGGTCCAATCATGACTGACTCTGGGGTTGTGGCGCTCATCTCGCTATATTGGCCGAGGGAGCCGGCGTACAGCTTCCGGGTCATGTGGCCAGCATGACTAAGCCACTTCTGGAGAACCAGAGCAGCGCATGGAAATGCTGTACCTACTAGCAATGACTTTATGGGCCATTTTGCACGTTTTGCAAAGGTAAATCCAGATTTTGTGTACCATATGTTCTATAAGGAGCTGCAGCCAATCACAGCTCCCCATTTTCCTGTCCTTATGTTTGCAAACCACATGTTCACTGCATCCACACTTTATATTTTCAAGTGTAAATCTGAAATGTTTTCCGTGTAGGTAAAAAAAAAAAAAAAAGACTATGTGAAACAACCCCAAAGTCAAACAACTGCCAGGCAAGTTTATACCTCAGACAGCAGTTTGTCCAGTTGTAGTTCTGGCAATAAATTAAGTAAATGTTAGTGCAGCTCCTGGGTTATTTCGTGAATAACAAAGTCCTGAGACTTAATTTAAGGTTCCTATGAATTACTAACTATCCAGAGAAGTAGTACATAATAACTTGGGAGTTGCAATTGAGTTAAATTACATATGGCAAGAGAAGATATCAACAGTAAACGTATGGTCTTGTTGCTTCTTCTTTTCTACCAGAAAAGTGAAATAGAAAGGGAATCTGTCTGACCGTCCCAGGAATAAATTAGGATACAGGGTTATTATCATGCACTGTCACACACAAATACTGTAACCTATTCCCTCCTCCCATTTGACATTATCCTTTGTTCCAGTATCATAATCTGTTGCTACGGAAACAACTGTGATGTCAGGCAGCGAGGATTATGGATGCCTTGAACAGATAGGAAAGGTAAATTGGGGAGGTGGGGGACTATACCTACAAACAGCTGTCAGAGCATAGTACTTTCAGAAACCCCAAGTGTTAAGAGGGAAACAAAGCAAAGACTTTGCATAACCAAGAGTAGAACTCTGTACAGAAAAGCACTTTTGTGCCATGAACTTTAATTGTGTTTCAAACATTCGCCTCAGTCAGAAGTGCCTTGCAATTTCCCAGAAACCAGTTATTTCCTTAGCCTTATTACTCCCGTGTGCACAAATGCTTTGTGCACCTTTCTGTTCCATGACTAAGTACTGCGTCACATTTGTATGGGAACTCTTTTTCACCCACCAGGACTTAGGAGAGACAAAGCACATATGGAAAATTCAGACCCGGTACAGTATCTGTTTCTGCCAATGAGAGGTTTGAGAGCTTCTGCAGCAAAGTAACACTACTGGAGCGGATTCAGAATCATGAAAACTTTTCTTCCTTCCTTCCTTCCATCCCTATGTGATTCACGGCTCTGCTGACAGGTGTGCTTTCGGACCTCATGTAATGGGAGAAAAATCCATATAGGACTTATCCACACTTAGCTTTCACCTCACTCTTTCCAGGAAGGGGTCTACATTTTAAGGCTCCATGTCTGAGTGTGGTTGTTATTATTATTTTGCCCTGAGCTTTGCCTCTGCAAAAATACACTCTTTAAAGCTGAATTGAAGCAAATAAAATTTTGGGTTTCCCACTGATTGACTTTTGCTCTGATTGAGATTTAAAGAGCAGGTTTTCGCGGGAAAAGCTCAAAAACAAAAAATAAAATAAAGTATGGTAATTCAGACACAGAGCTTTATATTGCGGGCTGTGCCTGGAAAGAGCGGGAAAAAGGGAAGTTTGGATAAGCCCTCAGTCTCGAACTAGTCTTGCCAGCATGGAAGTTTGTATGGATGCAATGAAATCCACGATAGGAATTCAATTTTTGGTTTTATTTAAAATATTTCTATCCATCATACAAGATGGTCCCAAAGTGGGTTACAATTGCAACCAAAAATTCATAACCAGCAGTAAAACACAGCACATAAACAAAGCATATATAGCAAAAAAAGAAGCCGCTCTGGTGCAAAACAATTGAAGCACCACACAAATATTCCTCCTTGTGCCCATCTTAGCCTTTAGTAAAATATATTTTTCTATATTTTTCAGGAGGGTGGGAAGAGGTTGTTATATTCTTTAATGTGTGTTTAAGCTGACTGCAATCTTACACACAAACCATCCCCATTTAACTAAATGGGGCTTACTTCTGAGGAGGCATGCATAGAGGTGCACTTATGGTAAGTATATTATAAATAGATACCACTATTCTAAAAAATCTAACCTTTAGCTGCCTTTTCACCTGCTAGGAGAGCTTCCCATACCAGATTTCCAAATACCACAATTTAATTATCGGTGCTTCTATTTCATTTTAACCAGTGGTTGAGAGGAGTTGCAAGTTGTTGTGTGCGAAGAGACAGGGTGAAACTGGATGCAAACTTCTTTTAAAATAGAAAGAAATACATGCCTTTGCGTCAGATACTTATGTGACTATGGAGAAAGACAGACTAGACAGGCTGACACTCAAAGTAGGAACCATAAACTTCAGAAAACTGGCTGCGGGAAATTTCCACAGCCAATTACTC